CTCCAAGGTAAGGCTGTCCCTGGCCTGCCAGGTTGGGCGAAGGAGCACTGCTGTCTCCGTCACCTGCACAGGATGCCCCAATTTGGTAATTTAATACTTCAGCATCCTTTCTACAGCTCTTTCATCTGTGGACCCAATTACTTCACTGTGAGTAATTAATTTCTAAAGGAAGGACTCGGGTGTACGCTTTAGAAGAAAATAATTTTTAAGGGGGAAATTCTGCAAATCAGTAAAATGAAGCCTAAAAGAAATCTTGTCACTCATGCATGGTGGGATGGAGGAGAGAATCGGAAGAGTAAAAGTGACAGAACTCATGGGTGGAGACAAAGACAGTTCAATAAGTAAAGCAAAAGCCATGCATACAGGCAAAGCAAAACAAGGAATTCATTCACCACTTCCTATGAGCAGGCAGGTATTCAGCTATCTCCAGGAAAGCAGGGCTCCATCATGTACGATGGTGACTTGGGAAGATAAAAGCTATCACTCCGAATGTTCCTCCCCTCCCTTCTTCTTCCCCCAGCTTTATATGCTGAGCAGAACCCCATATGGTATGGGATATCCTTGGGTCAGTTGGGATCAGCTGTCCTGGCTGTATCTCCTCCCAAATCCCTGTGCACCCCCAGCCTTCTCACTGGTGGGGAGCCATGAGAAGCAGAAAAGGCCTTGATGCTGTGCAAGCACTGCTCAGCAATAATGAAGACATCCCTTTATTATCCATAGTTTTCAATAAAATCCAGAACATATCCCCACACTAGCTACTATGAAGAAAATTAACCCAGACAAAACCAGCACACCAGTCTATCATAAATATTAGACAGTTACGACATTTGAAGTTTTGGTACTGTGGCTAATGTTACTATTTAGAAAGAAAAGAATCATTAGGGCTAGGAAGAAAAGCACATTTTTGTTATTGTGATTAAGTAAATTTTCTGAGCCTATAAAATGCACATCAGTATACTGCATTTTCAGTTTTCAATCCTGGTTCTAAATTGTCTTTGTTACTTGCAGTGAAAGCTGTACCATTGTATAGCCTAGAAACTGGTACTGTACTCAGTGCAAAACAGTCCTTCAAAAATGTTTGTATTTTCAGGCAGATCATGGATTGCTACGGGAAGTATGCAGCTGTCACGTTGACCATTTTGTCTCTATTTCTACATCTTCTTCATACTTTCCCAGATGGAGAGTTTCTCATGCAGGGTAAGCTGCTTTCAGCCTTTAGAAATAGGACAATTATTCGTAAAGAGTATAAATTAAATTTTCACATGTTTTATGAATGTGGTCATTAATCTTATCATTCAGTTCCATTTATTGACAATGAAGGTATAACAAATCAAGATAATTTCACTGTGAGTATGCTTCCTATTTCTTTCCTAAACTTGATTTCTCCAGGTCAAGGATGTCCCAGATTACCATGCCCTCATGTTGATATAGGTGACCTTAATCCTTGGAACACTATCAAATAGAAACATTTGGTTGCCTTGAGATCTAAATGACAATGTATCATCAGGAACAGCAGAACCATAGCTTCTCATCATAATATGCAAGATATTTTTCCTCTTTAGTGCCCAGAATATGGGATGTTGGTGGTGTACTATTTTATGAAAGATGCATATTAGAAAGATTTTAGGGGTATTTTGGAGGTTGAACCTTTTTTTCAGTTAGCCTCAAACTGAATATAGAAAAATGTGATCTACAGAAATCTTGGGATCGCCAAACATTTTAAAAACTCTCAATAACAGAATCTTGCCTGAAAACAGTCAAAGTCTAAGAAGCACTACAAATCCTGCTGGTGCTATTTAGCTATCTATAGCTTGTAGCAAGTTTTCTAGGGACAGCTAGTGCTGTAGACATACAAACAAACCTCCACAATTGTCAACAAAATTGAAAAGAAAACCAGAAAAGATACAATAATAATTGTGCTTTACCTAGAAGGCCACAGTCTAGTTTTACAGCTTGTGCACGTTGCAGAGGTGAAGAATCCTAAAGGGAGAGCTTTGCTGTCTGTGCTTTTCTGTTCTGCAGACATCAAGAAGAAGAATGTGGGCAGTGCTTCCTCTTATTGCCTGCACTTGCCCTTTCTTTTTGAAATGAAAATACAGCTGGAGACCAACTAAAAGTCTCTTCCTTATATTTTTGTGGCAGGTTGTCCAGAGTGCAAGCTAGGGGAGAACAGATTCTTTTCCAAGCCGGGAGCACCTATCTACCAGTGCACTGGGTGCTGTTTCTCCCGTGCCTATCCCACTCCAATGAGGTCCAAGAAGACCATGCTTGTTCCAAAGAACATTACATCAGAAGCAACGTGCTGTGTAGCAAAGGCTTTTACCAAGGTGAGGGTGTGAATGAGACCTGCTTAAGCTTCTTTTAGGATGCAATATTAAGCTGAAGCAGGGAATAGAGGAGAATATGGTTTTGCTGGAGGACACTGGAGAATTAATTGAGGGAAGAATTTTTGGCATTTATATACTATGTGCCTTGGTTATTTCTTTTTTTCTAAAGAGGAAATTAAAACATCAACAAGTAGTGATCTGGTATTCAGTTGGGATGTGGAAATTGGTGCAGTGCCACTGACTTCAGCAAAACTGTTTGGTCTCATGACACCAGTAGTTCTGGTAGTGGACTTGACCCCTAATTTTCAATTCTTCTGGATGTGCACCCTCCTCTTAAATGCTATGCAGTGTGTATTTGCTTTTAATAAGTTGATTGTCTTGCTTCTTTCCTGCATAGGCAGGAGTTCCCTGGAAAGGTGTCTGGTCAATACTACCAATTACATATATGGGAATGAGGGACCAAAACCATCTGTGCTCATTAGATTAGTTGAGATTGTTGCTTGCTTTTAATATTATAACCAAGAGGGAACTGTGAATGTGTGCAACTACTTGAGCCTTTAACAATCTCATCTGGAAGGTTCTTTTGAAGAGAGATTCTCCTACATCTCATTATTTTGGGAGTGATTCTGCTCCAAGTAAAGAAACCTTAAGTTTAATGTAATAAACGGTGAGCTTGTTGAAACAAGCTAAGGTGTTTATCCTATGGTGACCTGAATCCAGCTCATTTTGCCAAATAGAGGCTCAGCCGAGTTACCCACTCGCAGATTTGGTGCATTTGAGATACCTTAGGGTCCTGAAGTCATATGTGTATGGCTGGCAGACCAGGGCTTCTACAGTGACACTTCTAGAGTGACATGGGTTTGGTGAGATTCCCTCTGACCTCTCAAATGGCAATTGACAGCTCAGTGTGTGCAGCTGAAGAGAGTGCTATGTGATGAGAGCCCAGATAACTGACTTAATTATAGACACCTACACCTGAACCCATCCTGGCTCTTCATCTGAGGAGAACATAGATCTTATTCTAGATCAACAACATTATACTTGCCCTGAAGCAGCAACAAGAATTTGTTTGTGAGTAAATACAAAGATTGTGGGTTTGGTGTTCATTTTTATAATCCCTATGTGAAGTATTTTAAGGATACTTCCTGATTTTTCATAGGTGAGTTACTTGACTCTTTTTGAAAATTAGCCACTTTAAGAAGTGTCCAAACTAAGGACACCAAATTTTGTCACTATGCATGTCATGATTGAAAACCTTCTTTTTACAGCTCCAAAAACACTGATGGTGCAGTTTCATAGGTAGGTGTTGAGGTCCTTCTAGTAAACGTACCCCAAAGAGCCTGTGTACCTCGTGGTTAGGAAAAAGGCTTCAGACATCTTTTACTTGAGAATGCTGATTTTACTGTGTAGCTAATCCTAATTATTCATTTTATGTGTGTGTTTTCTTTTTTTAAGATTACCCTTAAGGACAATGTGAAGATAGAAAACCATACAGATTGTCACTGCAGTACCTGCTACTATCATAAATCCTAAAACCTCTCCCTTTGTTAATGGTCAAGGACAACGGTGAATGGAATGTTTGTTTTTCAGCTTTTATAGCACTACTGTGTAAAATCTTATGTTTTCTGGTCAAGACACTGGCTAGACCTTTGGATAAGATAGATGGCTATTTCATTTCCTCTTTGCTTCTTCATGCATTTAACTGTCTAATTATTTCCATTAAGGATAAAATACAGCACTTGCATGACAACCAAACACTTGATCTATTTTTAAAATAAACTGTCAGTTAAATCATCAATGTTTATTGAGAAAAAAATGGTGATGTAATAGCTTAATACACGCATAAAAAAAGATTCTGCTACAATTAATTTCTAGATTTTTTTAAACGGGAGAGGGATTGAAGGAGGAAGGGAGGGATGGGAAAGTGCACAGAAGAAGCAATAATTTCTCCCTTTTCACTTGATGATTAGACTTTTTGAAGATGGGGTATTTTGTTTCTCCTGCTTCTCTTCTATTTTTTTCTTTACCCTGTGGGCAGAAAGTATAACAGTATATCATCTACGTGTATACTCTGTTGTTCCGTGCCAGCCTTTATTTTTCTTTGAATTTAATCTTCTCCCATATAGATAGGTAGATGGACACAGAATCAAACATTATAAAGAATTGTACATTTTTCATGTAGCAATGGTGGAATAGAGTAGTGGTACAACAGCATTAACTGTTTAAGCTGTTTACCTTCTGTTTATCTTCAGCATGGTATAGGGCTTTAGTAATTCCTAAATGCACTGTCCTAGACCCAGGTATACAAATGGAAAAGGTAGGGAATGTGTTAGGTGTGAAGAGGACCACAGTATATGTACTCAGAATACATGACCTTATTATCATAAACTTGTTCAGTTGTAGTGGGTTGGATCAGGGTCTCTGGAGGAACTGCTTGCAGGTCTAAAGACTGCCCATGGGAACTGAAGTGGATTAATTCCCTTGCTCTTCTTCCTAATTTCAGCCTTTCTGTGGTCACTGGCTGCAAGGGTTTAAATATGCTGACTCAAACCCCTCAGATATATTTGTGGGGGATTTCCCTGCAGTAGAAGCTGTGAGAATAGCAGTAAGACCTTCTAATGGGATAGGGAAGATTTCCTGGGACGAGGCTTTGAGGGTGGCTGGTCTGTCCTGGGCCATGGCCATGGCTGATATCTGTGCTAATGCCAAATGACTGAAGTAGTTTAGACAGGCCCCACAGGGCTAAGCTATGATGGGGCACTTGAGGAGCCAACAGTTTCTAGGATTTAATGATTGTTTAAATCCATCATTCATCCACCTTTCTATCTATTGGAGTGCAAATTCAGTGCTATTTTCTGAGAATACAGTTATGGCATTTTGTGTAGACTCTTCGTAGATAGAGGAGATGAAGTCCTGAGAGAATCATTATTCAACGTATTTCCAGTAAACCCTGTTAGCCTGATCTCCATGCCTTTAACCCCCTGATTCAGTGTCTCTCCCCTGGGAACCACTGATCCCATGTCCTAGCTTCACTGTGCAGTGTGCCATTCCTGGGAGATGTTTTGTCTGACTTGGTATTGAAAAAAACCTCCAGTGGTTATTCCAGAAACTTCCAAAGAGACTGATCCTGTTGCTTCACTGTTCTCATTATACTGGAAAATGTCAACATTCTGGAAAGCTTTACCCTTAGTGTTTTATCTGTCTCATTTGCTTCAACATTACTTTTGGTCAGAGGGGAGGTAGTTCAGTAGGGTGGTCTTTAAGATTAGTTTAATAACATCAGCAGCACAGGTTTTCACATGAGAAATGTAATTTCTCATTCTGGGTCATCACGCAAGACACTACAGAAACACATGTCAAACAGCTGCTATAACTGACTCACAATTCCAAGCTGTTGTATAATTTTATTAAACATGATTGATGTGGCTACTTTTATAGGAGAGCCAGGTCCTGCCTGGGACTTCTGGGTAACAAGAGAGGAGTGATTTGAAGATGCAGCATGATTACCTTTGGAGATGGGAATGGTATTGCATTTTTTTCATAACTTTTACACGATTGGAAGGGAGAGCAGGGTAACACGTTCTCTGAAGTTCACTTTCAGGAGTGATGTGCTTTTTTGTTTTGCCAACCTTCTTGGATGACCTCTTACTCAAGCGAACTCCTCCGGCAGTATCGAGTACTTGGTTGTCTATCTTTTGCTGCCCACAACAGCAGGTTGGCGACATGATGAACTTTTGTTTGCGTCTTCTGAACCAAATTCTACATTTTGCGTTGTAAAACCATAGAAACACCAAATAGAGTGAAACCCATGCTTTAAAAGAGACACGAGATGCTCTAGCCCTGTGTCCTCCTAGGATGCCTGGCATTTTTTCAGCGGTTTTACCCCTCTTGCTTGTACAAAGCCATTTCGTGCAGAACTTTTCAACTCATGGATCCCTCCCCCCTCTCAGGCAACCTCAGGCACCGAGAGCTGGCAAAGTGTGTATCGTGAGGGTATGTGGAATAGGGGAGCACCAGCCCCTTTAAGTTATCTAACTTTTCAGCTTAGGAGTGCTAACACAAAGGAAGTAACAAAGAAAGTGATAGAAAAAACACCTAGATACACAAACTTAACAGCAGGTGGTCAAGAAAATAAGAAGATCAGAGCCTTTCAGCCACTGGCTGATGGACCATTATGGATGGCCCTCGGGCACCGCGGTGGGGGGGCAGCCATCCTGAGCTCCCTAAGCGGTGGGAAGGGGGAGCGAGGCTGCCTTCGGTGCGGTGGGTGCTTGGGGGCTGGGCAAAACTCGTTATGGGATATCAGAAGGTGCTCCTGGGACTGTGCAAAATTTATTATGGGACGGTTAGAGGAGCGGCCAAAGGTGGAGAAAGGTGGCGGTGGGGACCAGAATGGACTGGGGAGGAGCAAGCACGGGAAAACAAAGGAAAGGGGCCGGTCGTGCGTGCAAGATGCCAATCAATATGCTTGTCTGACTGAGCCTCTGACTGATCACTGCAGTCTGTACTATACTGGTATTAAAACCTTTGCTTAACCTTTTTTCCCCCTTCTTTTTCTGTGTAATCCTGCTTTGTATCCCACGTGTGAGTGCTGCAAGGCCTAAGTGCTAGGAACTTGGAGGAGGGACCCACAGATCTTGGTGACAGCAACGAAACAGACCAATATGCTGGAAACCAGTATGATAAGGTCAGGGGAGACGTTATCAATCTCTACCACTACCTGAAAGGAGGTTGTAGTGAGGTGGAGGTCTGTCTCTTTTCCCAAGTATCAAGTGATAGGACATGAGGTAATAGCCTCTAGTTGCACCAGGGGACGTTTAGATTGGATATTATGGAACGTTTCTTCACAGAAGGGGTTGTCAAGCATTGGAACAGGCTGCCCAGGGATTGGTTGAATCACCATCCCTGAAGGTATTTAAAAGATGTGTAGATGTGGCACTTAGGGACAAGCTAGATTTATATTTGTAGAAATTAAATAAGGTATTTGCAGTAGAAAAGGAAAACAAAAAGTATGATACAGTTCCTTTGCATTAGAAAATGGCTGAAATAGAGGCTTGGTTGATCATCTATCTTCAAGAGGGCATAGAGAGAAAATGTAACGAAATCAGAAAAAAGCCTAATCTCTTGTTTACACAGATAGCCAATGTGCATCTTCTATATTTTAGGAACAGAGTATTTGTGCATGGAGATAAAATGAAGTCTTTGTCAGTGTGGTTTATAAGTAGCAATAAATCAGTCAGAGTGATACTGTGGATTAAAAATGCTGAAGATCAAGCAGGCTGAAGATAAAAATGATATGTTTTTACTGTCACAATGACCTATATAAACCTACATCACCACAGTCCTAATAAAAAATTCATTCTGTGAGCAGAGAGACTAGTGAAGCTTGATTTCCTGACTATCTGTGCCGCATCTCACTGAAGATCCATTTTGCCGTGTCCTCAGCAAATCCCTGCCCTTCCTCCGTGGTGGTCCCATCATGTGCCCTCCTGAGCTGCTGCAGAGCTATTAGCCAGAGCCAGGGTCACTGTTGGTCCATCCAGAATGTTTTCTTAGGGCTGCTGCCAACTTCTTTTCAGTCAGACCCCAATTTTTATATTTTGCTATTAACAGATGTTGATTTTCACAAAACTGGTAAGACTTTCCAAGGCTCAGGTCATTACCCATCATCAAATAATGCTCAAAACTGACAAAAAGGTTAAACAGTTGCTGAGGAGTGGCTGTCAGACAGCTGTATGGACAGACTGACAATGTGAGTGCCTCACTGCTTTGGGGTGCCAGGCTAAAAAACTTTTCAATGATTCTTAGGTATTGCGATTTTCAGTCCACAGCTGGTGAGTGCAGGAAGGGTGTCTTCTTGGCAGAAAGGTAAATCTTTCAAGCTGTAGGGATTTTAGTGAACTGACATTTTAGACCAGACTTTTCATCCAAGCAAGCCTGAGAACTCTAAGTGAGCACTAGCCTTCCTTTTGTCTCCCTGTCACCCTGCCTAAATAGTGTTTTTTAATAGTGGTGAGAGGGAAAGAGGTTATCCAAGGGTTTGTGTTAGATAAGCACAGGCTATGTGTTTCCGCTTTACAGCTGGGTGAAAGCTCTTCACTAACTTGGAATTCACCAGAATATATTCATATATAGTAGGAATCTCTTGCAGCGGGGGAAGGGCATTTGGCTGTGTCAAAAAAGATTGCAGTGAAAAATGATTGATTTGAAGATGATGTCAGGAAACATGTAAACACATTTGGCAATGGAATAAAACTAACAGTTAATCACTTCCTTGGGGTCTGGAGGATTTCCTCATTTAAGGGATTTCCCTGTTGCTCTGCAGCTTCCCATGTCTCTGGCATATGCTAACCCAGTACTTGGCCTGCAGTCAGGTTGGAATAAGATGCCATCTCATTATATGTGCATGTGTAAGCAGTAAATCTAACAGTTACTGCCCTGCCAAACCATTCTGGGTGCTGAAGTTTGAGAGAAACCAGTATTCTTTTGGCTGAGGAAGACAGAAAAGCCAGGAAATTTACTTTGGGAGAGGAATTCAGCTCAGTGTAATTTCTTAAGAATTTGGTTTTTTTCATTCGATAATTTGTTTTTAAAATCACCTGACTCTCTCCACTATCTGGATGGTCTAAAAGCATAAGAAATGTCTTTCAGGTCAAAGCAATTATCCTTCTAGCCCAAGCACTCGGTTTCTGACTCTGGAAGTGTCAGATGCTGTTTATTGGAGCACAAGAGACTGGCCGGCTTCTTGCAGGCAGTTTCCCTTGTGCCACTCCCACAGTATCACGGTATCACTCCCACATGTGCCAGTATCCACACTGGTTTACTGGGCAGTGTTAGAGGTTACTTCTCTTTGTATCTACCCATGCAC